TTTCGCCGACAGCCTACAAGAAGTGCTGCCAGATGTCAGCGACCGCCCGGCGCCCTCTGACCCCCAGGCTGAGCTGCAGTTTTACCTGGTGGTGGCTTTGGCCTTGATCTCGGTGCTCTTCCTCCTCGCGGTGATTCTGGCGGTTGCTCTGCGCCTGCGCCGCTCCTCCCACCCCGCTGCCTGGGGCTGCTTTCGCCGGGATCTCAGTTCCAAGTCCGGACCTGGGGTTCTCCCCAGTTACAGTGAAGGGACTTTGCCCTATTCCTATAATCTGTGCGTGGCCTCACGATTAGCTAAGACAGAGTTTACTTTTTCCAACCTGAAACCAGAAATGGCTCCTCCTCGGGATCTCCTTTGTGACGATCCTTCTATGGATGTATGTGTCAGCAATGAAGACCCCCAAATCGTTTATGATTCGTCTTTTGCCTCTCACGTGAGTTTCAGCAAACCTGCTTTTATTCTTTTTTATTGTTCATTTTTCTAGTGATGGTAGTAGAAGAGGTGTATTGGATGGGTGGAGATTGGTGTCTTGATTGCTCAGTAGTCTTAGTAGTTACCAAATTAATATCTCTCAATCTGTACTGTTGACGATTTTGTATGATAAGAAAATATTGCTAAAGAGAGCTTGTTCTTGGAAGCCGCTACCTTTAGTAATAACACTGCCTTTCTTAGTTGACGTGTGATACTATTTTTTCAAGCTTTATTCTTAATATATGTGCTGCCAAAGGGAGCACTTCAAGCTTTATAAATGTACTGACAGTTCTTTCTGCTTAAGTTAATGTTCATCAAATATAGTTTTTTATCTTTTTGCTGCCATGTGTATTTTTAATTGAGCCTTCAATAATTAAGTCTCTTAGCACTTCTTTGCCTTATCACATGTAGCAAAGACTGATTTGGATCATAACCTTGGGTCAATTTTATTTGCACTCTATAATCTCATTCAAAAATAACTTTCTGGGCACCTGGCTGGCTCCGTCGGTAGAGCATGTGAATCTTGATCTCCAGGTTGTGGGTTTGAACCCCACATTGGATGCAGAGATTACTTAAAAAGAAGATCTTTAGGGGCACCTGGGTGGCTTAGTCGATTAAGCGTCTGCCTTCTGCTCAGGTCATGATCCCAGAGTCCTGGGATCAAGCCCCGCATCGGACTGTCTGCTAGGTGGGGAGCCTGCTTCTCCCTCTGTCTGCTGCTCCCCCTGCTTGTGCTCTTTCTCGCTGTCAAATAAATTTAAAAACAATCTTTATAAAAATAAGATCTATTTTTAAACAAATAATCTTAACCATTCTTAAATAATTTATTTTTATACTCTTTCTACTTTTTGACTGTTACAATTAGGAATGTAATGAACCTTTTTTTGAAGATTTTGTTTATTTATTTGACAGAGAGGGACACAGAGAGACAGGGAACACAAGCAGGGGGAGTGGGAGAGGGAGAAGCAGGCTTCCCGTGGAGCAGGGAGCCCGATGCGGGGCTCGATCCCAGGACCCTGGG